ATTTTGTATTTTCCTTGAAAATTTAAGCTCTTAATTTGGACTACAAGGACTTCCTTTCGATCTTTAATATTTTGGAAAACTTCTAAAGAAAAAGTTGAAGGATCATGTGGGAGCCTCTAATGAGCATAGTGTGGATATTTCCGAAACCACTACATGCACAATAACTGAATTAATCAACGTAAATACTAGTTATATGAACTCCTACCGCAGGGCGAAAATGGATGAAATAGTACCTGGCATTTATATCACATTTCTACATATGTCACAGTGTGAAAATGAGCGAAGTCGGACTACAATCACGCCAACCTCACATACAAAACAATTTTTAATTCCAATTCGATTCGTTAACTTCTGAGTTCACAAATCAAGAAGCAAATAATATAACGAGATACAAATTTGCACTAATAATTATTTTAAAGTATGACATATTAACATCAAAAGTCTCCAAATGCAACCAATACTGTTTGTGTCCATGTCCAATGTGTGAGATATATAATTGAAATTCAGACTGAAATTTTTCCTGACACTAGTATTTATGTGTATCAAAAAGGAGTTGAATCGGTTCAATACTTCCCTGAGTCCTCATATATCTAATATAAAGATTTTTGAGTTTCGAGGTGAGGCCAATGAATTTACAGAACATGTTTTACTCATAACAGTATATCTTTATGTGTAAAATGGATAAACTTAACATAGCCTTCATAAAACTTTTAGCATGATGATGAACATAATGTGAGTTACCTTAATGAAACTCAGGGAACATCTTTTTAGTATATGGCATATAGGTAGTATGTGAGATGAGCAAAAATCGGGTCGATACTACTATATACTACACATAATTTCGTTTTTTCGTATAAGAGTTAAATACACTTGTAGTATATAATGTAATAACTCTTGCCAACAGGTGCTACTTCGGACTGAGTGGGCAATTGAGAAGCAAAGTCCTCTCTCGATAAACAAAAATCAAAATCTATAAGTCACTCACAGTTCCCGTCCTGTTATATGGTGTAGAGGCTTGGACGATGTCAACAACGGATGAGTCTATGTTTCGAGTTTTCGAGAGAAAAGTTCTGCGGAAGATTTATGGTCCTTTGCGCGTTGGCCACGGCGAATATCGCATTCGATGGAACGATTAGTTGTACGAGATATACGATGACATTGACATAGTTCAGCGAATTAAAAGACAGCGGCTGCGCTGCCTAGGTCATGTTGTCCGGATGGACGAAAACACTCCAGCTMTGAAAGTCTTCAACACTGTACCTGCCGGGGGAGCAGGGGAAGAGGAAGACCTCCACTCCGTTATAAGGACCAAGTGGAGAAGGACCTGGCTTCACTTGGAATATCTAATTGGCGCCACGTAGCGAAAAGAAGAAACGACTGGCGCGCGGTTGTTAACTCGGCTATAATCGCGTAAGCGGTGACTACGCCAATCAAGAAGAAGAAGTATATGTATACATAAAATTGCCTTGATTCCGATCCTCTATTCGACGCTTTACATCTTCAGGTATTTCACTGACTCTGAGTTTTGCATGCTGCAAGAGAGAGTTCATTCTACTTTATAATTTAATTTTTTGTTTTATTTTTTTCTATCATGTTTTTATTTTAAATTATTTCATTGTTGTTTAATTTATTTTGTTATTTTCGTTTTTGTTTTAGATTATTTTATTTTAAATATTTAATTTTATTTAATATTATTTAATTTTTTATTTTTACCTTAAATTATTATACGTTGTTTCTAATATCTGCGTTTATGTTCATATATATTATTCATTTCATTTAATTGTATTTTTTTTTATATTATATTCTTCAATCCTCCTAAGTGTCACTTCGGAAAACGAGTACTATCTGTTAGAAAAAAAAATAAATAAATAAACTGAAACTAATGTTATAGTTAATAAACATTGTATGAATATAAAAAATATTAATTTATTATAACAGTTAAATTTTATACAGTTATAAAAGAAACGTGATAAATTATGTTTTAAGTATAAGTTGAAAACATATACGATTTTATAGAATGTGGAAGCACGTTGTATGCCAAATGAAAATGCCAAAGCTTTCGAAAGACTCACTCCAGTACTTTATCTTAACAAATATTTATGCACTAGACTTATTTACATAGAGTATTTGCTAGCACCACTCATTATTGTCCAACAAGAACATACCTGTTTATCTACAAAGGATATTTACTTTAATTAGATTAAGAAGTGCGCAAGTAGAAAAAATTGGTTTCGTGTGGAGCGGTGTTGAAGATGTGCATGTGGAAAGTGCTTACATGTGTATCATAAATGCATATATACAAGCATACATATATATATATGCACTAATGTATATGCATACAAACAGCTAACTAAATAACCACATCAAATTTTTTGAAAATTTTTGTCCAGATCTGTCTTTGTCTTTAGCGTTATGTGAATAGTTCTGGCAGATATGAAATCTGTTTTCTTCAAAATATGACTAATGAAGCACTTTTTTCTTTATGGGACAGATTATAAGTTTTAAGGGTGTTCGGTAAGAGAGATGTTCTACAAGTTTAAAACTTTCTAGTTTTAGGAGAAATCTTAAGCAAATGGACCCTTCCAAAAAAATATATTAGTGCTTTCCTAAAATTGTTTGAGTTTCTCTGCCATATGCATGAAGCTTCCTTGAGAAAATATACCCTCCTGTGAATTAAAAAAAAAAAAAAATATATATATATATATAATAAAACAGGCCGTACCTATACCAAACGGAGCTGTGGTGGCCATTTGGTCGCTCATTTTTTGAGATCTCAATCGGAAATTTTGCACATGTAATTTTCTCTTCAAAATGCTGCTCATTTGTCGGAAATGTCGATATCGGACCACTGTAGCATATAGCCGCCATACAAATTGACCGAACAAAATCAAGTTCTTGTGTGGAAAACTTTTTTGTTTGATGAGATGTCTTTACCAAATATGAAATAAATTATGTTCTGAGGCAGTACTGCAATTCTTAAATAAAATTTTGAGATCGGACTACTATAACATATAGCTGCCATACAAACTGTCTGATCAAAATTAAGTCCTTCCTTGAAATTTTGTTTTTTTGATAAGATATCTTTCTAAAATTTTTCATGTATTGTTGCTGAAAGCAATGCTATAATATCTGTTCAAGATCGGACAAATATAACATATAGCTGTCATACGAATTGACCGATCAAAATCAAGTTCTTGTTTGATAAACTTTTTTGTTTGACAAGATATCTCAATTAAATTTTGTGTAGATTATTACTGAAAACAGCGCTATTATCTCCAAACAAATTGTACCGATCGAACGACTATAACATATAGCTGCCATACAAACTGACCGATCAAACTCAGCATGAAGCTATTTTTTAACCCCTTTTATATTATAAGAGAAGCACCTTTGAGGGATATTAGTGTTTTTTCTTGATTTAGTAATAATTCTTTAATTTTAATAGCAGCAACTGCAGTATTTTCTGCGCCTCTTATTGAGGTTGTGCACGAATGTGAGCATCAGCATATACTCATCTCAATATCTCACTTGTTACACATATAAATTCTATTTACAACAACAACAAATCCTAAAACGACCATATAAATTATGTTGACAACAACTACAAATCACTAAGACTCCATTCATTACTATACATACATACATCTACCGCTTTTGGCGCTCCACCTTCGCCGCAGCGCTTCTGTAAAATTCCTTATCTACTATACAAGTACAATAGTTTTCTTTAAATCTCTATTTTTCCACTTTTAACTGTTTTACATGCAATAAGACTCAACGTCACTGTTTTTAATTTTTTTGTTGTTGCTGCTTTTGTGGTGTTTTTTGTTCTTCTTGTTTTGCTGAGTTTGCACATCTCACCACACAATGAAGTGACTGTAGCACGTCCGCATACATGCTTACCTACATTAAATAAATATTAAAAAATATGTAGCAATACAAATGTGAATGTATACATTTATCTACAGTATATATATATATATATATATATGTACATATATGCTTGTGATTTGTCTTATCACTTTAACGCCTTTCACTCAGCACCACAACTTGGTTGCTTTGCACGCCACTCACACACCCTTCGCTCGCTTGCGCGCCTCCTTCGGCATTTCAACACTGTTTGCTAACAAGTTGTTGCTATTTTTGTTGCTTCGACTTTTCATAAAAGTGATCAACATCATTCTTTATAGGTCTTGTAGTTGCTGATAATTCTGTATTTGCATATGCATTTGTACTGTTGCTCTTCCTTCTTGATCAAGTCTCTTCGGCTAAACACTCGGCTTGCGCCTCTCACCCGTTATTTATCCATCCAAAAGTCATTAACATCAAAATCAAGGCATTCAGTTTCTCAGCAACGTTGGAAATAGTCACTTTGCTGTGTCCATTCCAAAGAAGCTTCGATAGAAAAACACGTGTAAATTTAATTGTGGTTCGAAAAGAAAAATTTTAGTTGTGAAATGTTTGTGAAAAAGGTGTGTGAGTGTTGGAATTGAAGTTTGTACATAGTTTTGACAAATTTGAAAGCTAAAATAAAATTCAAGAAATCCAGAAACTTTCAAAATAAGTATTTAGAAAATTAAAAAAAAAACAAAAAATATAAAACTTAAGTCATAATAAACTTTCAAAAAAAAAAAAAAAGTCCAAAAGTCATAAAAAAACTTTCAAAAAAATAAAAATAAAATTATGCATAAACTTTCAGAAAAAGTTTGAAAACTTCTTTTTCATTACATTTCGCAACAAATTTGTGTATCAAGTGCTAAGTTGAAAGTGTGTATATTATAAAAAAATATAATATATAAATACAGTTACATCTCTAAAGTGTATTAATACCAAGATTGTTGACCTCTGCTGATAAAAAAATAAGTGTTTTAAGTCGTTATTCCCTCAAAAAATATGAAAAGGAAAAGTAATTAAAAATAAAATTTAATTAAACCAAAACTTTTATTATTGTTTGCTGCTTTGAAAATTTGCGATTTTCAAATAATTTTTTTTGTTTAATTGCAAATAAAAACTAACAAAAAAAAAAAAATCAAAAAGGAACTTTTTGTTCATTTTCAAAAGAAAATTCTATAATAAGTGCTGAAGCAGAATGTCGAAGAAGGAAGATACACCGTTTGTCATGTAAGTGAATGAGAAGATGAATGATTATATCCACTCAGAAATTAATTTGCTTATATATCGACTTCATATATACCTATTTCTCTCCAAAAATTGGAAGTTGCTCCAGCAAACAGTTTGTAAGAATTTTTTAATTCAGTGTTATATTATATAACTTCTTACTGGGATTACTATAAATATGTTAGTATTTTATTATAAAAATTAATTGATAATAAAAAATTTGACTAAATGAATAATAATAATAAAAAATAAATTTAAATAATTGAATATATGTTTATTTCACTTATTACTTAGGCGTCATTAAGTTTATTTCGGTAATATTTTTATTCGCATATCTCCTTCTACTAAATAATAATAATTATCGATAAATTGTGATCTGAATATTTTCTTTACTATTCAGTTGTAACAAAGTTCAGTTTGATACTAATTTTTTATAAATCAATATCGAATAAAGTTATCAGTTCAATAGACTATTTCTTAATACTTGTGTCAACGATTTTTCCAGTCCTCAAAACTCTTTTCACAATCACGTTTTGAGATTGCCTTCAGCTCTTTCAGCGAATTTTGTTTTGTATCTTCAATCGACTGAGAATGGATTCCACGGAGCAGCAGTTACAGTTTGGGGAGCAAGAAAAAATCACACGGAGTCAAATCTGGTGAATACGGTGGTGAACTGACGGTATACTTTGCCTTTATGGTTCTAAATTCGGTCAAAATCGTGGCTCGATATATTATCATTGTGTAAAAACCATGAATTGTTCTTCCACAATTCCGGTCATTTTCGACCAATGTTCTCGCGCAAAAGGCTCAATACTTCCAAATAGATATCTTTATTGAACGTCTGCCTCTCCAAAACATGTTTATGACGCACCAAACCACGAACATCGAAAAAAAATAATGAGAATCACCTTGATTTTTGAGCGGCTTTGGAGTAGTTTTTCTGGGTACGGCTCGTTTTTTCCTTCAATTTCGACGATTTTTGACTTATTTGCGTGTCAAACTCAAAAATCCATGTTTCGTTGGAAGGTTAATGCTCTCCATAAATGTGTACTCAGAATTCATATGATCAAGCATGTCTAAAGAAACCTGTTTATGTTTTATACTCTCTGAAATAAAAAAAAAATCAGTTTCATCGGGACCAGTAGAGTAAAAACGCCTTTCACACCCAAAATATCCATCAAAGTCATTCAAACGGACCCACGAGATATGTCGTGCTTTCTTGCCATCTCTCTAACATTTGCCTGACAAGCACCATATATTTCATTTATTTTGATTTTTCATTAATTGAAGAGTTCGAAGGTCGTCCAGAACGAGGCATGTCTTCAACCATCACTCGAATGTCTTTGAGGACTTTGTACCATTCGCAGGCTTGTGTAATAAATCTGAATAATCGTATATGAATAATAATAATATTGCTGTAATTGAATTACGATTTCGGCTGCGTTTTTGTCACAATATATTAAACACAAAAATCAAAGCTAAAGATTGATATTGATAAAAATTGAAAACTTATAACAATATAGAAATAATGTTAGTAAAACTATGAAAGAAAAATATGATTAAAATTAAAAGATATATAAGTAAGTATCAATAAAAGCTGGGTAAGAAATATAAAAGTATGAATTGGAAACACTTGTTTTTATACAAATAAGAAAAATTTGGTTGTATTTTCGATAATAATCGATTATTAAAATATCGATACATATTGGGTAAAATCCTTTTAGAATATTGAATGAATAATATAATAATATTTATAAATCGATAAAAGTGAATAAAAACATCAATAAATACTGCGTAAAATTTTGGAATATTGAATAAAAAATATAATAAACATAGAAGTATTTTTAAAACAAAAAAAA